CCATCTCCTTTAATTTCATTAATTTCAATAATTTCAATTCTCACCANGTTTTTCACATCAAACGGTTTTCCATAATTACATCATATTTTGCATTCACATACGTCTACCTGCTTTTAGTACTAACTTCACTATATATATATATATATGCGACCGATCTGGCGATGCTGAAATGAACAATCCCTGATTATATTGCCGATCCGATTTGTCGATGAAAGGGCGATAAAAATTGGTACAGTAGATTATTGAGTTGTTGTTAAATATTTCACGAGTTTCGCGTTTCCAAATGTGATTTTATGCTTCCCTCTCTTTTGTGCTTGGTGAGACGCCCTGAATTTTGTTGCTATTTTTGAAATTAGATGCGTTTTTGTGTTGTTGTAGTAGATTCTTAGTTTTATTTTATTGCCTGGGCTTGTAGGGTTGATACTTTCATGAATTATTTAAAAAAAAATTATTTCGTCAGTTTTGTATGCCTTTGTCATATGATTTCTATAGTAAAAAGTAGTATAAAAATTATTCATTGTATATTATCTATTTATGTATGTATGTTCAATATAATATAAAACATTGTTTTATAATTTAATGAAGATTATCGTGCGTCTTGTGTTTAGTGAGATGTAATGTGTCTGATAATAAGAAATTCACATAGTGGTGTGGGCGCTAGACCAGATGTCTCATGACGACTGTAGACCGTATCTTTAGTCCTCGCTGAACGGTTTATAAATGAATCGCGCAACTTGTCTACTAGTGTATAGTGTGCTATGCTTAAAAGAATAATTTTTATTTTTTCTTATATTTTTATCATTGGTTTAAAAACAGCGAATTTATCGTCAATATATTAAAATTATTGATAGAATATATCAAATACAACATTTTGAATGAAGGGTGATATGTTCAATATCAAATATAAGTATGGAAAACAAAAACTTATTTTGATCAGTTCTGTTGTATTTGTTGATAACAATAACATTTTTGCAATATACTACAAGAATTGCTACCACGAGGTCTTAAAACGTAAAATTTAAAAATATGTGAGAACGGGAGTGTACTCGCATATATGATTTTGATGGGTTAGTAAATGTTGGTTTAATCAAAATTTTGGGTTAAATTTTACGTACACCTTGTATAATATGTTATGTAATGCATATAGGGGCAGATAAATGGCCCTCAGTATCTGGCAGTATGACAATGGCCCTCAGTATCCGGCAGAAGAGGGTGAATGGCGTCGAGGGGTATTTCGGTTTCATCATAGGTAGCCAAACGGCAACCCCCGATCTCGGGGAAAATGTCGTCTAAACGTGTGTTGTTGTTGTTGTTGTAATGTATATAGGGGTGACATGAATATTTATATAAAAAACAATTTTTTTGAGTTACAGTATTTGAATAAGTAACAAAATGGTTAGAAAAATTAAATTTGCATGTCGTCTTGAGGGTTTATATATCTACCTCATCTACCTCTATATATACCTCATCTTGAACTTTTGTTTGTTTCATGATTTTTCAGACCAAAACTGGATGTTTGGAATAAGATGAAATTAAAATTTCAAAGGAGTTTTTTAATTAAAATTAATACAATACTCACACGAATATAAAATAAGCAAACTAAGCTTACAACGAACGACAAAATTTAAGAATTTTAATCTGTTGTTATGCGGTATTTTTTGATTGATATAAATAAAAAAGTCTCGACATATAAACTGATGTTTTTTTTTATAGCTTTTGTTGTTTATTTATAACAAATTTATATAAATTTGTTGGTCAAAGAAAGTGAAAAATCCTTAACTTTCATATTTTTTTATGATTTGAAAATCTATGTTGGTATCGACTCTGATGCATCCTGACACATTCAGCAAACAATAATTTGGATGCATTTTTACAATATTTAGATTTTGATGGTTCAAAAAATTTGCTTTTGTAAATATTTCTAATTTGTGCAGCTTCTATCAACCATTGCAATGTCAGATATCTAACGTGGTTTCTTAAGATAACTACATACTGACTCGAAGGTTTTTTAGTTGCAGGAAAACATTTTTTTAATTTTTTAATAAAAAAATACACAACGGATTTTAGATTTTCAAGTCATAATTAAAAATCACTGTTGTCTAACAGAGCGGCCTTCTCTAAAATATTCCAAAGTGCAGCTAATCGTTTGCTTTTTATAAACTTCTTCAAATTTTCCAATTAAGATTTTAGTCTTATTAAATTCAACATTTCTAAATCTCAAAATGACTATTTATTATTGCGTTCATTGTAACAGTGCTTTTTATGCATTAAAACAACATACTATTTATTCATGTTGTTATTGTATTCAAATAATAAAGTTACATATATTTTACATGTAAATCTATGAAAAATAAATAATTATTCAATATTTACTCCAGGAGCCAAAGTTAAATGAAGCAAAGTATTTTCAAAAAAATGTCAATATTTTAAAATTTTGAAAATTGGTAGAACTTATTTTCTTTTAAAAATTATTTTAGTAATATACGATCAATTGGGCAAGTTTCGAGAGGTCAACAATTAAGAAAATATATAAAAAAAATGTGGGTCCCTATCCTTGCTATAGCCTTGCACACACACACACACACCACACGCACACACACACGCGCACGCACCCTCGCACACATACATACCCTATACGCATAGATAGCGGCGTATAAAATGTATTTCGATTTTGAGTCAGCTACTTTGAATCTATTTTCATTTACACTCTTTTTAAGTTATTTTCGAAATGGGCTAACTTTTAAAAAATACTAACCATACCCTTAATCTCTATTTTTATTTTTTTTTTTGTGAACCAATAATCCCTTAAATTTTTTAGTGCATTAATTTTTTTATTTTAGCTGTTATAAAGAGTGCAAGTTTTGCATTTTCATTTTATTATAGGTATTTTACTTCATATGGATATTTTCTTTTTTCCGCAAACTTCAGTAACCAAGTTATCTCACTCAGTAGAAGTGCCATGTCTTGCGCTGCTATTACGCAATGTCATGCTTTGAATACTGTCTGTCCGAAACTCAAAGACCATCATACCCGTATGATGCGGTGCTTGCGCGTGCATGCATAATGTGTATGTGCTTCGTGTGGTGTGGATAATGTACACTACAGCCTTTGTGGCACGAAAGTTTAATTCTAAGTATAAAATTACATGTAAGCAGTTCTGCGTTTGACAGAGTTGCATTATAAAGAATAAAAAAAAATTGCTCTTTAACTTTGGCAGATTCTATCAGTGGAATCATGTTCTGCTGTGATTAAGCTTACCTGGTCACCTATGTTTGGCGAGAATGATTTGCAGCTTGACAAATCAAACGTCTTTTACAAGTTGTTTTTATGCAAAAATAAAGATGATTCATTGAAGTATGCAGAAGTTTACAGGTTGGTATGTTTACTAAAACGTTAGAACTCAATAGTTGATTCAGTCGGAGCATTATTTTAATTATTTTTAATTTTAACAAATGACAATGTTTAGAACGGTAAGTCTTGAAAGGATTTTTTCAAGTTGTTATGGTTATTTTGTTTTGTTATTTAAATTATTTGACAGTGGTGAGGCATTTGAGATAACACTCAAGGATTTGACACCTGCTTCAACTTTTTTTATCAAGTAAATTTACGTTTATAACTACTCAGTCATTATTGAAATATGTCAAAATTAAAAATTATAGTTGAGAATTATAATCGTAGAAAAAAAATTTTTGGTAAATATTTAATTTAGCATTAAAGTTGATATATTTCATTTTTTTCCTCTATTTACATTTATATGCTTGTTTCTCTATCATCTCGCTGTATGATGTTTTATTTTACATTTTTTTTGTTACGTTCGATGCGTCTACCCAACTGAAATTTTCAGGATAGGCGCAGGTGTATTTTGGTCATATTCAATGAGCGTTAAATTAAATTTATTTAATCAAATCTGAACCAATTTCAATTAAACGAAACCAATTTCAATTAAACGAAACCAATTTCAATTAAATGGTTCACTTCACTATATCGTTTCTGTTGTAAAATATAAGAAAAGCGTGAAATTTACAAATGTGGTGTTTTTTGCTTAAATGCTCTGGCGAATAAATTTCAAATATTACAATGAATAAGGTATAATTTTCCGATGACGACGCAAGAATTAATTAGCAGACTTAAATAAATTAATTAAATTGTAAATGTAAATTATAAATGTAAACAATAAATTTTAATAGAATTAAATAGTTTTTAAATTTTGTAGTGTTATTTTCCTTTGTTCACATATTATAGACTGAATGAACTTTTTATTATTTCAGATAAATATATTGATCATAATTGGCTAAGGTTCATTTTTTATCATTGTTTTCAAAGAAGAAATGCTTCTAATATATAAATGTTTGGACTTTTATAAACTAAATTTTATATTGGTCACAATATGCAGATATCAGTGCTATGATTCAAAAACAAAAGTATATGGTGATATGAGTCCTGTTCACAGTTTCACAACGTTACCAACAATACCTGAAACACCGTCTGGACCCAAGCTTGTAGCCAAGACCAAAACGTCTTTGCAGTTGAAGTGGAATGTAGGTTACTTAAGTTGTTTAATTTCAGATTCTCTACTGTGCTTATTCTTTGGTAAAATATTCATTTTCTTTATTTCTTTCTTTCCTCTCTTCCTTCCTTCCTTCCTTCCTTTCTTTTGTAAATTGATGCATGACTCTTTTCTGTCTCAAAAGACAATAGATTCGCCAAGCAGTATCACTCTTTATGATTCTTTTTCATTTATTGCATTATTTTTTGTGACTGAACAGACAAATTCTTGAGTTACAAACTCTACCACATACTGGACAGTAATACGATTCTTTTGAAAGATTAGCAGATAACAATGCTTTTCTTCATTTGCGCCTTATTATATCAGCTGTTGATATTCTCGTTTTAACACTACACTGACATTCCGGGTATACTCGATTTGCTAGAATTTGTTATCTTTTAAGAAGCGCTCCAGCAAAGGCTTATCCCACAGCATTTAGCCGGGCGATGCCTCTGTAATTGTTACAGTATGAACGATCTTTGTTTTTTGTAGATTGTAATTAAAATCCTGTGGGATTGCACGCCATTCCCAGCAAAAGCATAGCAACATACATGTTAAGTGGCTTCAGTAAGACAGTAATGATTTCTACAGGAATGCCGTTTCTACCAGTTGCCTTCCCGTTTGCAAGTGCATCAATGGCCATAATAAGTTCCGTCACAGAAGGTATCTCATCAAGTTTAATTATAGTTGGCTTGAACTTTTGACAGCGCCGCTGCTGTGATAACACTCTCCGTTTGATAGATTTTTACAAAGTGTTCAGCTCATCTTTCCATTTGGTGTGTACGATCTTTTGAAATTTGTTCCCAATTTACTCCCATTTTTTTCTCATTCCCGATTCCTTCCCGAATTCCAATTTATGACAACGTTTCAGAAAATTCCCATTCTCTTTTTTTAACTCATCCCCGCGTTTTTTCTCCCATTCTCTCCAGTTTTCCTTTTTTCCAATTTTCAAAATTTTTTAACACAAAAATCTCAAAGTTTTTTGAAAAAGTAGATTTACAAACACGTCTTCATTACCAAACAATGTAAACGTTCTGTATATAGGGAGTATAGAAAAGAGTGTAGAAGAAAGTATAGAATTTTCAATGATATATAAAGCATTATGAAATAGGTTGGCGCAAATATAATGTCGGTTTTATGTTAATAAATTTTTCATCACTAAATTTTTAAATACAATTTATTGAATATTTTGATCATTATATATCATTTTGAAGGTTATTTATTCTTCTATCTAGCCTTTATTAATTAATTGGTCCAACTATTCAGCGTCTTTGATTTTGAGCAATATTTGAGAATGTTGTCTAAGCGTGATTTTCGGATTATTTTGCTTCATGAGTTTAAACTCGGGCATAATGCGGCAGAGGCAACTCGTAATATTGTGGAAGCATGGGGCGATGAACTCAAGGTTGATCACACAACAGCAGTTTGTCATTTGAAACTGATTGGTAAAGTCAAAAAACTTGACAAGTGATAAGTTGAACAAAAATCAGAAGATTCGGCGTTTTGAGGTGTCAGCTTGACTTGTTCTGCGTAATAAAAACAATCCGTTTCTTGACCGGATTGTGACGTGTGATGAAAAATGGATCCTATATGATAACAAACGACGTTCAGCTCAGTGGTTGGACCATGATGAAAGTCCAAAACACTTTCATAAGTCAAAATTGTACCAAAGAAAGTTAATGGTGACAGTTTAGTGGTCTGCAGCTGGATTGATTCACCATAGCTTTTTAAAACCTGATCAAACGATTTATGGAGAGATGTACTGCCAACAAATTGATGAGATGCACCAGAAATTACGCCAACTACGTCCTGCATTGGTTAACAGAAAGGGTCCGATCCTTCTCCACGATTACGCCAGGCCACACGTTGCAGAACTAACGCTAAAAAAACTGAACGCGTTGGGTTACGAGATTCTCCCTCACCCACCATACTCACCAGACCTCTCCCCAACAGATTTCCACTTTTTCAAACACCTCAACAACTTTTTGCGTGAAAATTGCTTTAAAACCGAAGAAGCTACAAAAAATGCCTTCTTACAGTTTGTCGCCTCTAGGACTCCTGATTTTTATGCTACAGGCATCAATAATTTAATTTCTCGTTGGCAAATGTGCATAGATTGTGATGGTTCTTATTTTGATTAAATATCTCAAATGAAAGCAAATTTGTTGCATTTTGAAATAGATGGTAGAAAACCGACATTATTTTTGCGAGCTTGAACTGTGAGTTGATATATTAGGGGTTTTTCTTGGTTTCGCTCTGGCGTTATTTTTAGCTGTTGATTATAGTCGCTTGAATCTTTGATAGTTTGCGTGATAGTTATAGTAGATAGTATTAAAAGATAGTTAATTTTAATATATCGCGTGTTAATTGTCACCCAGCACCAACAGAAATTTTTTTCGTGAGATGCAGCGAATCGTTTTTTTCAGGTTTCCATAATACCTATGTTTCAGATTTCCATAACACCTATTTTTGTTTTTCTGGGATGAGCCTAATTTAGGGGTGTATGTACTTAGGGTGGTTTTTCCTATTGCTGCCAATGCTTTGAATAAGTTCATTTATTATAGAAAGTTGACTATTATTACTATTCAGGTTTACTCCTTAGAAGCCACAAGGTAATTGGTAGTGGGTTTAGAAAATTGAAAGCTCACTTCATTTATGTATTGACATTCTATGCTCATATTTACAGAAGTTTTCCTTTGACCACTCTAACTTAAGCTAGCACAGTGGACGATGCAGACTGCCTGTCCGGCATGCGTGGCGCAACCAAAGTTGTTGTTGCTTTTCCTTAGATGTCCAGCGGGCGATCTAAACGAGGCTTGAGCCAGTTTGCCACTGCGACCGGGTTCTTCCATAAATCTATGACCTTGAGATGTATGTTTGGGGTTCCTGGAACTGCTGAACAGATGGGGGGGACATCATCTGGATGTTTATAGCAAAGAGAGTAGGTGTCGTTGTGCCCTCTGTATATTTTTGCTCTGAAGCTGTTAAGAAAAATACTATGGCCTGAACGGAGTTGGGCAAGGGTCCGTCTGATTACCCTGTGTAGACATTTTTCTGATTTGTCTATTTTTGGTGTTGTTGTTGGTGCCCATCCGTTGAGCAGCACCTGTGCCAAATACGTTTCGAAAGCGGTTTTGGCGGTGTTGCTATGGAGGATGCTGCCTTTAGGGAAACTTTGTTGATGGTGTCGGTTAACACTTCTCTTACTGATTGGGACCATCTTGAGCTGAAGATGCTCTTCATATTGTGGTGGGGTTGTGGCTGAGTTGTGATGATGTGGCACGGGGGGTTTGGGCTATGGAATTGTAGTAGAAATTGGGAGGAGAGAAATTCAGAGTGCTGATTTTTTGATAACATTTAGCATTCCAAATGCAGGTGCTGTTCTGATGCGATGATCACCTGTAGAGCGGCATTCTTAGAACGTTGAAGCCGGTTGAAACTGGTTTCGGAACGAAGTTCTAGTTTTATTGGTTATGGTGCAACAGGCTTCTTGCGGTGGATGGAATCGATTAAATCAACTGCCAGAAAACCCTACAGCCGACCCAACAAACCGTTGAAACACCCCCTTTCTGCTTTGATCTTCTTACTGGGTTTATGTCATCGGAGCAGCCCATACTGGCCAGTCTACTCCGTTGCCTTCTTCTAAGGGCCGGGATCGAGTCAAATTCAGGCGCCAAAACCTGGATTTGTCCCGCCTGCTATAAGAAAATCAACAAGACCCAATTTTCAGCCCCTGCAGAACCCACTGCAAATAGTTTCTTCTAGAAAACTGTGCGACAAGCATTAACTGTTATTATCTCTGTAATAACTGCCCTCTTCTGTCCACGAATTCGAATGGCTTTACGGTGCCGGATGTGGTTCCCCAGCGGCCATCAACCACAAAAACAGTTCAAGCCCGCCTAACATAAACAACAAATCATTAACCATATCTACAGAATATCATTGTCATCCTACAATTGAACTGTAATGGTATCAAAAACAAGCAAGAAGAAATCGTACAACATTTAAGAGAACACCACATTTATATTGCAGCAATCCAAGAATCTAAGCTAACAAAAAGTTTAAAAGATGCAGTTTTCAGGGACTACTCGGTCTATTCCAAAGACCATGGGAACGGAAGAGGGGTTGGTCTACTCATGCTCATTCATCACAGCATTTCTTACACGATCAAGCAACAACAGAGAGTCAAGCCATCACAATCAGGGTCACAGACACAGATATCAACATTGTAAACCTTTACATACCGCCTCAATCCGTCTGTCTCTAATTTCACAGCTTCAATACTACAATTTTTGGTCACCTCGAACCTGGATATTTCAACTTTTTTACCAACAACCGGTCAACTATCATCTCCAGATATTTCTGTCATTCAGACATTAGGCTCCCTGATTATCGATATGGATTGGTCAACAATGGCCGCTTTCTCATCAGCATCAGAACACCTTCCGATCCACTTCACACTGCAAACAACTTTCCAACATACCAGAACCCCTAAAATCAAATTCGCTTTGGCATCTAAGTAATCTGGACTTGTGATTGAACGCAGCTTCAGCCTTTTCTTTGGCCCACCGGCATACCATTCGTCTACATCCTCCTTGTGCTGTTGCCCATCTCCCACAGCGTGGACGCACTTGGCTATTGTCTAATCTAAGTTTTTAACTATCCAAGGTCAGAGTGGATTTCAGGGGACTGCAAATTTTTTTATTTTTAACATTTAAACTTTGACATTAATTAAATAAAGAAAGTTGTTTAAGTAATTTTTTTTAAATTGTTAAATTACAAAGTCTACTTCATTAATACTTTTTTAATAATTTTATTGGCGCTAAAATGAGATGTTTTTATGTCACCTAATTGAATTTTTTAAATATAATTAATAAACAAATTGTACTATTTTTGTTTAATAGTAAATTTGAAAGTTTCAACGGTAATAAATGCCAAAATGTTAATCTATGTTAGGAATAATTCTTGTTTTTCTAATCATCACACAGTCTGTACCTGATAACGGAAGTAAAATAGCAAGCTACCTTCTGGAATGTGATCAGGTTCAGTAATTTAATATTAGTTTTTTAGTAATACTGCTGTTTTACTATGTAAACATTTAAACGAATGTTTAGTAACATGAAATTATAATGAAAAATTTTAACAACAAAAAATAAAAAATAAAGCTTCAATTTTAAACAGACTCAATCTTGTTCATAAAAATTTACTAAGAAATTGAAAAGTTAAATTTTCGTTGTTAAAATTTTTCATTATAATTTCATTTTATTTTTTGAATTTATTTGTATATTTTTTAATAATATTAAAACTATAATAATACTAATTAATAAATAATGCACTGACGATGGCTGTTTAACGTCGAAATAGATCTATCTGCAATAATCTGCAAGAGCAGATAACACCAGATTTATAAGAGATAAAGTTATTAGTAATAATATTGTCAATAATAGTTGAAGAAGAATTAGTAACACGAGTAGAAACAAATATTATTACGTTAAACAAAGGCGAAGACGAAACGTCCCTGTGCCTTCTCAAAACTAAGACAATTTTAAAACAATAAATTAAATAAACCTATGAGTCTATACTGAATGAAATAATTAATGTTGTTATAAGTCAAATAATGTATTAAACCTTGTAAAAAAAATGATAATAAAAAAACAAATATAAATAAATTAATCACATATCCTTATCAATAAATTGACGATAATATCGATACATGCTGATATAAAGTTCAAATATATCCCAATCTCACAAATAGCCAATGTCACTTCAAATATCATTTGCCCTCCAATTATACATAAACCTGGCATTCATAAGATAATTATCCAACATTTTTTAAAAATCATTCACACTATCAGCATTCACAACATCAACACCAAGATTGTTCCAGATATGAATTGATCTATTGATAAAGTATTGTTTCCTCAAGTTCTTATGGAATGGAAGAGCAGTCAATTTCATTTCGTGTCCCCTTGTTCGTCCACCAGCTTTCATCATTACTGGGAGATCGCGTTGATCTTTAGCTCTAAACAAGTTATACATCATGATGAGATCCCCTCTAATGCGTCTGTATTTCAGTGTTGGCAAGCTCAAAAATTTTAGACGATCTTCATATTTCATATGTTCGCAGGCCTTGATCGACTTTGTTGCTCTTTTTTGGACCCTTTCTATCACCTCTGTTTCCTGTACTGTCCACGGAGACCACACACAAGCTGCATACTCTAGATGAGATCTAACTAATGATTTATAAAGCACTAACACCTTTAAAATTTCTAATTATTAAACCCAACAAAGAATATGCTTTTTTAACATTGTTATGAATATGATCAACAAATTTTAATGAATTATCAAATATTACACCTAAGTCCTTAATACGATCGACATTATCCAATGTATGATGACCAATTTTATATTGAAAATTATTTTTAGGTATGTTATACCCATATTTTATTACCACACATTTTTTTCATTAAATTTTACATTACTCTTTGCACACCAACTAGTCAAGTCATTTAACCCATTTTATAATATCATTCTATCATCACCTGAGCTAACAATTCTGTACACTTTTGCATCATTTGCATACATATACAATGCTGTACCTTTTGCATCTTTATACAAATTAAACACATCATTAACATATAAAAGAAATAATGTAGGACCCAGCACACTCCCTTGAGGAACCCCACTTAACACTGTACAGCATCTAGACATTTTTATCATTCAATCTCACTCTGAATGTTCTTCCACTTAAATAACTGTTTATCCAGGTAATCAATCCATCATTCAATCTGTACTCTTTCATTTTTTCAATTAAAATACCATGAGACTCTCTATCAAAAGCCTTCTCAAAATCAGTGTACACAACATCAATCCTGTAGCCATCATCTAATGCCTTAGTCCAATCATCCAAAAGTTTCAAGAGTTGCATTACCGTTGATTTACCTTTAACAAATCCATATTGTCTAGGGTCAATCAAATCATTATCAGTTAAATACAACATCAAATCATCCTTAATAACCGATTCCATCAGTTTACAAATAACACTGGTCAACGCCACTGGTCTATAATTTCTTGCATCTTTTTTATCACCCTTTTTATAGATAACTGTTACAACATTTTCCTTCCATATACTAGGTATGACTCCCCGTTGATATGATATACCATATAGAGTAGACAAATAATTACAAACAGACCCTTTACATTCAAATAAAATCTTTTCATGTATAGATTATCTGGACCTGATGATTTGTTAACATTCAAATTTTTTAATTTGTCATAGAAAACTGTAGGTTCAAAAGTTATTTCGTTCATTTTTGATCCAATGAGCTCAGATTTCGAAACAGCCTGATAGTGTTCATCACGCAGATCATCCACTGTAGCAGAAATTGATGAAAAAAAGTCAGCCAACATATTGATCAGTCACAATTCCTTTCTTTCCTTATCCACCCGATACAAACCATCCAAAGAAAATCTGTCTTTTCTATTACTGCCTATGTGTTTCCAAAATACCTTTTGATTAATCTTCACAATTTTAACTAAGCTGTCTAAATAATTCTGTTTAATTAACATGATTCCTTGTTTGACTTCGTTTCTAATTTTTTTGAAGTCTTCATACAGCGTACTATTTCTATTTTTCATATATCTTTGTATTCACCACCAAAGAAAAACTCAACATCAGATGATCACTTTTACCTACCCACAGGCGAATTATATTCGATATCTTGTTTTAAATTTTTTTGTTTTGCCAATAGCAGATCCAAAATATTCTGTTTCTGTCCATTCCTATATCTTGTTGGGTCATCAATGAACTGAACCAAAAAAAATAATTTACACAATCTATAAACTTCCACTGAAGCGACTTTAAACCTCCACTAACAGAAATTGACTCCCAGTTTATTGTAGGTATGTTAAAATCACCAATTATAAATTTATTACCATCATTGCCTATAAATATCTTTATTAAATTTAGGAGTTCATCATTATTCTTCAAACAGGAGTTTTGGCTTCGGTATACTGATAAGAATGAAATTTTCTCTTTGAAATTCAACAAGCGAACTGCAATATGTTCTTCAAATTTGCTTTCAAAATCAACAATAACTGAGGAGAGTGTGTCTTTAACATAACAGAAAATACTTCTAAATCCAGCCTTCATAAAATTACAGCTATACAACCTGAACCCTTTAATTTGAAATTCCCCCAGTCGATAACTACCTGTCAAGTTCTTTGGGTTTGTTTCCACAAATATTAAAATATGCATCTTCTTATACATTGAGTCAACTGAATATCTAATTTTACCCATCTTATTACAAATAGAGTCTACATTAGAATAGAGAACACCTAATTTACAATCTCTGTCCTTATTTCCGTTGCTCAATCTAACCTTATCAAAACAATCACTCTCATCAACTAATTTGTGTCTGAACTTTTTCCCCTTCTTTCTATCTTTACTAACCTCATACTTCCAGGCAAGCCCCTTACCCTGTATATATATTCCCCCTGATTATTCTTCTGTTTTTCTTTTTCTTCCTCTACAAGCTTTTTCCTCTCTTTCCTTTGTTCTTTATTCAAATCATGGGATACACCAATTTTAGTTAACTCAGTTTCTAAGTATTTTACACAAATTCTCCATTATCAAATTTTTTTACTTCTATCATTGAATTTAATTAAAACAGGCCTTGGTCTATCTCCAGAGCTCTTTAACCTGTAATATTTTGCTATATCACACTCTGTAACATGACCATCTGAAAGAACTGTGCAAAAAGACAAAATTCTTTTTTTATCATTCAATCTGTTTATCTCAGCAGTTTCTTCCTTATTTTCACATATGCAAAAAATTATAATATTATTTGCCCTATCTTGTTCATCACATCTGGTTTTAATATTTTCATTAGTTTTTTCTATATTTTTGCACACAGACTGTACTTCTTTATTTACCACTTCTACTTTTTTTAAAATCTCTTTGCCTACTGCCTTAACCCAATCATTTTTAAAATTTCCTATAGTCTCATTTACTTTTTTTTCCATTAGCTTAATACTACCTGAATTAGTTTCTGTATTTTTAATTGAAACATTTATACCCTTGATGGTTTCTAATAATTCATTGTACCTCTCCTGTAAGGCTGTCAATTTTGCATCCATCGCCTCTTGTTTTTCTTTAATGTCATCAAAACTTCTAGCATATTCCAAATTACTTGTACTCACACTCAAACAATTACTACAACTCCATATAAAATTGGATATTTTGGCTATTTTTTTAAAACAAAATCTTCTGTTATTCCACCACATTTGGGGTGGCAGAAAAACCCTACATGTAATGCAGCATAAATTATCAGCTGTACAAACCTTATTACACTCACAGCAGAGACTCTTATCCTTATTAGCCATCATAATTATCAATTACTCTTTCTCTCTCTTCCCCTCCCCATCTATCTTAGATATTTAATTTATATATAATATATACACTCTCAAGTGCGAGAATAATCAATCAGACAAACACAGAAAATTGACAACACACAACAACAAGTGACTGGCGTGTATCCTACAACGGATGCACGAACCGTTGTAGTACTACCCTCTCAACGCCTCTAGCCGTGCTATTATGTTAGTATGTATTCTTAATTAAATACTAATATTAAATACAAATAACCGTTTTCGGAACTAATTCGCTGGGGAATACAATTCTACTATACCAAAAAAACAACTTTTTACAAAAATTTATCAGGAATAATTTTGAGATATCAGATATCAGAGGAAACAAACAAAATGAGGACATTACATTAATAAATTGAGTACAAAAGTTGTTACAAAAGTTTTTATCTATGTTTATATTGAAATCACCAATAATATAAACATTATAATTAGACATTTTTTTATTTATAAAATATAAGGTGTTTAAATCATCAATAAATGTAACATTACTATTTGGAGGACGATAAATAACATAAACCAAATAATTGTTAGAATTAATATTAACAATTTCAACCACTAATAACTCAAATGATGTGGAATGAAGGTATAAATCATCACAAATGACATATATCAG